GGCTCCGGGAGACGCTGCATTCTGTGCGGGATGTTTCTAAAACAAGTTTGTGAGGCTGAAGGCGTTTTGGCAGAACACTATCGCTGCTCAGCAGTCTTTTTGTTAATGTTTATTTATTTTCAGAGAGAGAGAGAGAGAGAGAGAGAGCATGCACACAGTGGGAGGAGCAGAGAGGGAGGGACAGAGAGAGAATTGCACGTGGGCTCCACAGCATCAGCCTGACTCGGGGCTCAGGCTCACAAACCGTGAGATCACGACCTGAGCCAAAATCGGAAGTTGGACGCTGAACCCACTGACCCGCCCGCCCAGGCGCCCCACTACTTAGCGGTTCTTACTAAGGACTGTTCACGTGTTTCTCGTCTACCCAGAGAAGCCGGAGTTCCTGTGTAAACACCGAGGTTCACGGTAACTTTTCTTCTTGTTTGTAGCATCCCTACCCAACAGAAGATGAGAAAAAACAGATCGCTGCTCAGACAAATTTGACACTACTCCAAGTTAACAACTGGTAAGATGCGCCCGCTCCCCGAGGTCGTGCCAGTCAGCGCGATAGAACCCTTGAAAGCACGGCCGCTAATCAATAGCGGAATTTGGCTGAAGATTCCTGAGTTCTTTTAACCAGCAGCACTGTCGTCAGGACTGGGATCGGTGGCGGGAGGCTTGAGAAGAGATCAGCACACGCTTTCGGCTTTCGGGGATCAGTGGCCCTCACGGTGGACTCTCTGCCCACACGCTGCTTGTGCAGTTAGACTTGCGTGTCTCCGCCGTGTTTCTAGCCCCGAGCCCCCACGCTCAAGTCCGATGGCCTGTTTTCATGGGTAACCTTCTCCGGGTGGTGACGGCCGCCATGAGGCATCCTGACCTCGGGGGCACCCCCCGTGGCTCTCCCACCTTTGGGAACCTTGTGCCACTTTGTTCAGCTCTGAGTGGGGATCCAGGTGGTGGCCCCACCCACAGCGGGGTCCTATGGGGACCTCGGGGCCCTACGAGGGACACGCCTGGGACAGGGTTGACTTCGTGGATGCAACATCCTCCTGTTCTAACTCCGGTGTCACGTACTGTCGTGGACGCCTGAACCCTGACCGCGTGCCCCGGAAATCAGGGCTGCGCCCGTCAGTAATGGCGCTGGGGTCCAGGGGCGCACTTCCATTTTGTGCGGTTGTCACTTGTGTCCTTTGTGTTCACGTGCGCCCGTGTGGACGCGAGTCCAGCTTACAGAACGGGCCCGTGTAGAAGAGAAGAGAGCACACGTCCCATCAGTCGGAAATACCGTTAGAGCTTACACCTGAAGGTCAGGTGGGCTCCAGGGTACGTGACGGGGTCTCCCGGCATACGCAGTCGTCTGTGCGGGACGGGTGCTCAGGTACCGCACCAAACATCTCCGGTGTCCTGCCGTGGGCCATTGTTTCGGTTCCGGGAACCGGTGATAGACCATACTCCTTGAACTGTCTCCTGTGGAATCTTGAAATGCCGTTAGCAGAAACGGAGGTTTCACATGTGTTGTCGCTGTGACGTTCGTGACGGCCTAGGACACGCTCCGTTTCCTCCTGTCCCCTCGCGTGACACGTCCTGTCTCGGTTCGGTCCTACCAGTGGTCGATTCGTTGGGGGCGAATGTTAGAGACACTTGTTTGCGCATTGGGACGCTTTTGCTGCTGCCCGGCCTTCCCACTTTTCTTCAGGGTTGACTTCCTTGAGCTCTGTTAGCAGAATTGTCTTGTCTAGAAGGTTTGACCTCAACTTTTTTTTTTTTTTTTTAAATTTTGGTTAATGTTTGTTTTTGAGAGAGAAACAGAGCACGAGCAGGGGAGGGGCAGAGAGAGAGAGAGAGAGAGAGAGAGAGAGAGAGAGAAACAGACAGAATCCGAAGCAGGCTCCAGGCTCCAAGCTGTCAGCACAGAGCCCGACGTGGGGCTCGAACCCACGAACCGTGGGATCCTGACCGGAGCCGAAGTCGGACGCTCAAGCGACTGAGCCACCCAGGCACTCCTGCTTGTTTCTGTTTTTAGGGCGTATCTTCCTGCAATTGTAGATAGTTTTGAATGCGAGGGTTATATTTTTTAAACTGTATTTGACTAATCTCTACCCCCAACGTGGGGTTCAGAGTCACGACCTGAGATCACGAGCGGGCCAGCCAGGCACCCGGGACCGTTAGGATTTTAACGCGAAGTGACCTTGTCACTGGTCCGGGCCCAGCTCTGTTCTGTGTCGGGGGCACCGAGAGCAGCGTGTGGTGGCACAGCACCGGGACAGAAGTAGAGCCCGCGTGTCCGCTGGTGCTCGTCTTTCTCTTGCTGTCAGGGTCCCGCTGCGGGGGTTAGCAGGCTGGGCTGCGGCGAGAGGTGAGCCCCTGTCGCTGTCCTCCTGGAGGAGGCCGGGCTGGTGCAGCTGTGGCCTGGTCGGAGCGTGCGGTCCGAGCTCGCCAGCGGCCACGGGCGTCCCGCAGGCTGCGGTCACAGCAGGTGGGGGGTGCGGGGAGACAGGTGCCGGCAGGGGTGCAGGCTTTCCGTCCACGCACTTACAAGCCGCCTGCCCTGCCGACCTCAGGCTCCCGCAGCAGCAGTGGTTGTGCGCGTGCGGGGTCAGGGGTCGGGTCCCCGCGGGGGTGGTGAGTCGCTTCTGAGCTGCCTCGTGGTGGGGGTGGTTAGTGACCTAGGAACTTAGTTCCTCTGGGACTAGCCCGTCGTGAGCGGCGTGCAGGGTCGCAGGTCTGGCCCCAGAGCCGTGCTTGGAGGGGACCACGAGGTCAGGGCGGGACAGGACCCCCGGGTGTGCAGTGTGGCCGCTCCCCGCCCCCCTCCCCGGGGACACCGGCGCCCCACCTGCCATCCACGTGTGCTGGGCCGGGGGAGAGGTGCGCGGGCCACCTGAGGTCCAGGCTGGCTCTGACGCCTCCCCCGTAGGGACGTCTGCTGTCCCAGTGACCGCTTCTGGTGTCGCCCTCCACACCCAGGTTCATCAACGCCAGAAGACGGATTCTTCAGCCCATGTTGGATTCTAGTTGCTCAGAAACTCCAAAAACCAAGAAGAAGACAGCTCAGAACAGACCGGTCCAGAGGTTTTGGCCCGACTCCATCGCCTCGGGAGCTGCACAGCCGCCGCCCAGCGAGCTGGCCATGTCAGAAGGTGGGCCTCGCAGGGACTGGGGGGGCAGTGGGGACAGGGAAGGGGAGGGGGGGGC